TAGCAGGTGTACCCCAATGCTGGCCCAGAAATCTGGATTCTTGTTCAAACTGTGACATTTGAACATGAGCACACCATTTAACTTCTTCAAACCTAAGAAGTCTAAGCTTTTTTCAGAATTGAATTCATTAATCTCTACCTCATCATATTTGATGCTAAGTATTAAGGAGTTTCAAGCATACAAATGACAACGCCTGTTATTAGTTCTGTATTTCAGTCTCAACCTTCTTCACTTCATCAAGCCTTAGACCGTCCTTAAGATCAAATGCATGTTATGAAATCGTCTGAGAAAGTCTCAAGGTCCTGCAGCTAATAAAGATGTTAAAGCGTGGCTAGACAGGTTTGAGTCCTTCACGGTGGCTACAGGTGAGTCGCCCATAAACTCTTGGGGTTTTTTAAAATTATGATTCCTTAGCCTTCAAGGCTTTCCTTGATAGTCATTTAAATTATTTTCACCCTACCAAAAAAAAATGGATGGGTGTGGTAGACCATATGCTATATCTCCTTCAGGACTTGGAACCCGGCATTACAGTGCTCTCCAGCCTTTGCAGAAGAAAACAAGTGAATCTTCCAACTTGCACTTCTCATGTCCTTCCTCCTGCCCCAGGACAACTTAATGGCAGTCGTAAAATTGCATCACAACTCTACCTCCTTCCTTTCCCTGTTCACTCTGCCCTACACAAAATCCCATATGGCAAATTAATAGGGCCGCCTGCCCCAAGCCAGAACCAGCTTGTCAGCCGCATGACTGAGTTATCTGGGAAGTGAGTCTAACCCTTGGGAGGCCTTTGGGTGACTCAAGCCCAGCTCATACGTTGACTTAAACTCCATGAGAGACTCACTGGCAAAAAGTCAGCTAAGCAACTAGCAACGTCAAAAATCCTAACCACACAAGGAATGTAAAGTGACCATATTTTCACTTGCTAAACTTTGCGTAATTTCTTAAGTGACGTTAGATAATGAATACACAGTCCAAATTATTTTCAAAGGCTGATTGGAATTGCTTTTCTGTCACTCCCAACCCACAAAACTCTTCATGGGGCACCTGCTAGGGCAGAATCCCGTGGGATGTGTCCTGGACATCTACATTGTTGAAAAGTTTTCCAGATGATTCTGATGTGCAGCACCCCCTGGGAAATCTCTGTTTTATTTGGGAATGTAGCTGCTTATCATGTGACTGTCACATATCAGCTTCCAATCAACTACATTTCCATCTTTCTTCCACGGCATACTGTGAGAATTAGGCCCAAATTTTAGGTCAATGGGAGCTCAGACATAGTTCTCCAACATTAGGGAAACAGGAGGGGTTTTTTTGTTTTTTTCCTATCATTGCCCATCTGTTAACAGAGAAATGAGCAAATAAAGACTAACTTTCACTACTTTCTCTGCAGGATTCACTGTTCCAAGGGAGACGAGAGACAGTTTACGTGAAAGAAACCTTAATTGTAGGAGGATTTTACAGTTGCTCCCTTCATATTCTGTTCCCAGCCCACCCTTATCCCCCAGTCTCAGACATTCCGATTCCTTCAAGCAAAGATTTAAGCAATATTCCTGAGTCCATATGAAAATTCCTTTTTACCCAGACGATGAAGGCAATGACAAGATACTGACATTTTTGTCTAGTCACTCATAAACTGAATTCCCAAACCTGACACTGAAACACCAAAGTCAGTGAGTGACTGAGCAGTTCTCTGTTCCACCAGGCACCTATTCAACCCCTTAGCACAGCCACTCACCAGGAGATTACGATTATAAACCCTTAGTGAGTGCTCAGCGTACCAGTGAAGATGCTCCTTGGGATGCCTGGATTCCGTGCTGGGAAGCCTGGGTTTAAGGAAGTCCAGACTCCACCACACATTCCTTCTTCCTGCGAAGGCACACCCTTGGGACAGTGAGTAATGCTCAGATAGTTGATGCCCATCACTCATGCGGGACACACCGGTTGAGTTCTCAGCTCCTAGTTACTGCGAGGCTCAATCCTGGCTGCTAGGAACTGCTCTCATCTGGGGAATGAACCAGCAGATGGGAAAAATCTGTCTCTCTATTTTAAATTGACAGCAATTTTAAAACTATACCTACTGTACACATAAATTACAAATGAACTTTAAAACTATGTGTATATATATATATATGCATGCATGTGTATATAATCTTATTAGAAAATCTGAATGGCAAAGATCACCAATTCAAAGAACAGTATCTAACTCATACCCTATCCCAGCAACCTCAATACATTTCCATCTCCAACCCACTTGTGGAGCCAGTCTCCCCAATCCTATTCTTTTTGCTTTGGAAACATTAAATTCAGACTTTGCCCTGTGCCTATAGCCACAGCGTTTGTTCAACCTGCCTTCCTTTGTTCCCTGCTGAGTCCGCCCAAGCAGATTCTTCGCCAGTGGCCTTGACAATAACATTTTCTCCGTAGCCAGCCGACTCCACACTCCAGAGTTGTCTTGGCAAGCTGTGTGATACCACTGCCTCAACTGCAATTGTGGTAAGGCTGCAGGGGCCCTCTGGGACGTGCACTGACAGATGTAGCATTGTTGCTCAAAATAGAAGTTTTATCACCTGAAGTCTGTTTTCTCTCAGCTCTTCATGTCACCTTCCTCTTCACCTTGTTCATGTTGCTATTCTCCCACTAGGACAAAGACCTCCGTGTTTTCCTAGCCAGAATTAATGTGACCTTTTGGTAATTGCCATAGTTAGAAAGTTCCCTCCAAAGTCTATGTTGAAATGTAGTTGCTGCTGCAACACACACACTTATTTTTTATATTGATTACATAGTTGATCAGGGTGGGAAGAATTGAGGTTTAGGGAAAATTGGGTGAGCTCATTGTTTCCAAATTTGCCATTTCTTCTTGTTTAACATGTACATTTTAGGAGGTGAGAGGGACCTGTAGCTCTGTTCTGCTCAAAGTGTCATTTTTGCTGGAGTGCAGTAGTTATCTTGGTTTATGCAGTAGTGTGTTTGTGACTTCATGCGTGAATCCGTTGTTTTGCTCTTCTGCCATTTCTGCAGCACAAAGTCCCTCACCAGGTACTGGTGCCATTTACTTGAACTTGGCAACCTCGAAAGTTCTGTTGTTAACCTCTTGCCATCTAGCAACAGAGTTGGACTAAACAGTAACGTTTCTCAGAGTTACTTTGAGCCTCATCAAAACTTTTCTCTCCATTTATGGCAGGAAACACAATTGTGGCTAATTTCTAATTGGCTGCAGCAGGTGGTTCAAAGAAGGGCACATGACCCAAGCTGGTCCAATGAGAGCTCTGTTTGAGCCTGCTGTTGAAACTTTGAAAAAACAATGGAGTTTGGCAAGTGCAAGAAATGAGTGTTGGGTTCCTGGCAGTGTGATTGGAGAGTCTATACCTATCTATGCCAGAGTTTTCTTTTTTAAAGAATTAGAAACGACGAATCCTTCCTTGTTTCCTTTTGGTTTAAGCCAATCTGAGGAGGTTGACTCTGAACAGGTTGCTCTTAGTTCGTTACCTCCTCAAGTGAAATCCATTCCTCACTTTGCATCTTTTATGTCTTTCAAATTCTTCTTCCACTTCTTAACTCAAACTATGGCTTTTATTATTATTATTATTACTATTATTTTCATTGGAAAGGCGGATATACAGCGAGGAAAGACAGAGAGGAAGATCTTCCGTCTGATGATTCACTCCCCAAGTGAGCGCAACAGGCCGATACTATGCCAATCCGAAGCCAGAAGCCTCTTCCGGGTCTCCCACGCGGGTGCAGGTTCCCAAAGCCTTGGGCCGTCCTCGACTGCTTTCCCGGGCCACAGGCAGGGAGCTGGAAGGGAAGCGGGGCTGCCGGGATTAGAACCGGCGCCCATATGGGATCCCGGGCGTGCAAGGCGAGGACCTTTAATCACTTGTGCCACCGTGCCGGGCCCCTCAATCTGTGGCTTTTAAAAAATTTTTTGAGAGGCAGAAAAATCACATTTTTCCTGCAATTTTTTTTTAAAGGATGCATTTATTTACTTGAAAGGCAGAGTTATATATAGAGAGAAAGTTTTTCCATCTTCTGGTTCACTCCCCAAATGACCACAATGGCCACAGCTGCAGCGAAGGCAGGAGCCAGGAGCTTCCTCCAGGTCTCCCACGCAGGTGCAGGGTCCCAAGGCTTTGGGCTGTCCTTGACTGCTTTCCCAATGCCACAAGCAGGGAGCTGGATGGGAAGAGGGAGTGCCGGGATTAGAACAGGCCCAGGGTGCTCCAGACAAGGACTTTAGCCGCTAGGTCACCGTGCCGGGGCCAAGGCAGCCACTTTCAGAGCCATGAGTTCACGGAGTAAAGCAGCAAAAACAGTGAATGAATGTAGAAAAAGAGGAAAGGTTAGGTCAAGTTCAGCTAATGGGTGCTGCCAAGTGCTTGGGGTCGTTGTAGGCTTAAACACGAGTTTTTCACCTGCTGCCACCTCCATGTAGGTTGGGATTTCCTGATGGTGCGTCCCATTCCTCTTACGTAATTAAAACTAGGAATGTATTGACATAGTGAAGTAAAAAAAGACTTGGCATTTGAAGAAGAAAGTTTCCGAATCAATTCACCAAAGCGCAACTTTTTCTTTCGTTTTTTCCGGTCCTGGGCTCAGTGCTTTAGCCCAAGATCATTCATTGGTTGCACAAGAAGCCCTTCCACGTGCGCGCCGCTCACAGGTGCCAGCGGTGCAAGCCCCGCCCAGCCGCGCCGGAGCCCCGCCCCGTCCCACCGGAGCCCCGCCCCCGCCGCAGCCCCGCCCCGCGTCGCCGCGACGTCGGCGCGCCCACGGCCAATCGCGGCCGCCGCGGCCCTGGGCGGGCCCTCGCGCAGGCGCAGGCGCAGGCCGCCGCAGCCCCGCAGCCCTGGCCGAGCCGGGCGCCGCCGGAGGCCTGAGGGCGGCGGGGGCGGAGCGCGCGGCGGGCGGCGGGCATGGGCGCGCCGGGCGGCGTGTAGGGGCGGGCGGGGCGGCGGCCGCCACTCGCAGGCGGGCCAGGCCGAGGGCCGCGGCGGCGATGCAGCGGCGGCGGCGGCCCCTTCCCGCCGCGTCCCCGCCGGCCGACGAGGTGCAGTTCTCGGCCGGCCGTTCGGGCTCGGCCGCGGCCGTTCCGGGGAGCGCCGCGCGCAGCACGGAGGAGGAGGAGGAGCGGCTGGAGCGCGAGCACTTCTGGAAGATCATCAACGCTTTCCGCTACTACGGGTGAGGCGCGCGGGAGGCTCCGGCCTGGGGGGCCCTCCCGGTCCCTGACCCGGATCTGGATCTGGGGGGGCCTCCCCGGTCACCGGCTCGGATCTGGGGGGCCTCCCCGGTCACCGACTCGGATCTGGGGGGCCCTCCCCGCTCATCGACTCAGATCTGGCGGGCCCTCGCCGTCCCCGGCCCGGATATGCACGTGGGGCTGCGGGTGCATGCCTTTTTTTGTTTGTTTGTTTTTCCTCCCCTTAAGCTGTTTAATGTGAGTCTTCCAAGGCCGCTGTAGGGCTGCCCAGACCCACTCGCCTCGGCTCACCTTGGCTTTTTGCGAGGGGCACTTTGAATGGTCTTTTTGAGCTGGTGGTGGGGTGATTATGGGCGGTGGTGGTCCCCCACCCCCCCATGGCTAAGGAGGGAAACGTCCAGAAAGGCAGCTTGGCCAGCCTGGCCCTAGATTCTTGGAGTCCGCAGATACGGATAGAATTCTCCTTTGGTGCTGGGTGTGCTGGTGCGTTCCTTATTGAGAATACCGATTCCCCCGAACTTCCACGTTTGCCTTTGAATAGCTTAGGCACGAAATTATAATTCCAAGACCTGAAAGGGACTTAACTGGGTTTTCCGGGAAAGAAGGACACCCCTGGAGCCGGGCGGCAGCTGCAGTGTGCGCCTGCAGTTGTGGTAGGAGCAGCCGAGCAGCTGAAGCTGACCTGCAGGTCCTTGGGCAAACCTTGTGTCCCTCTCACTTGAGTGCTTTCTTTGATAGCTCACTGACCCTCTCAAGGACAGGGCCTGAACCTTCATTTATTTTTAGGTCAGTCATGCTTGGCATATGTTGTTGGAGCTCTATTTTTAACAAATAAAAACATAATAGCAAAGAAATACATTCCTGTTCCCAATCGGCTTGTCTTCCACTAATGACCAGCTTGTTACTCCTGTGGATTTAGAAACTCGGCACAAGTTGGAAGGTACTTAGTATCTGATTACGTTTTCATGGGCATTTTTGAAGTTCCACTATCTTGAGTAATTCACCGTGGACTGCATGGCAGAGGCGCCCAGAAGGAATCTGTGGTCTGAGTACTCTATTTCTCCAGGTTAGTAGCAACAAGAGGAAGGAGAGAGGACGTGAGAGAATTTGATGAAAGGATTGTGACTGGGAGAACATCACAAAGCTAAGTGGTAGATGCTGAAAAGCCTGATACATCTCGGTATGGAATAACTAGAAAGAACATGGAGAAATACTTTGAAATTACAGTGAACCCAGTTATCTGTGTGTAAGTGAACCTGGTTTTAACATTAGGACGAGTTTAGAATTGATTTTTGTAGATAAGCGGTGAGCTTGGAGGGGTAGCCGGATGTGAGAGGGCCTGCTCGGGACCTCGTGTTTTCACATCTGTACTCTTGAAAAGAGACTGAAAACAGTGTAATGCCAGAAATTTGCTTTCTAAATTTGAGGCTATGTTTGCTGCAAGCCTTCTGTACCACAGAGTGCCAGGCTTTGTCTATTCTGAGGTTTCCTGACTGTGCACTCCGCTGTCCACGACTGTGGTCACCATCTGTCTCATTCGACCTCTTTCCAGGGCTCAACTGGCCAGCCAGGTATAGCATTGTACTGAATGGCCAAACTGCTAGCTTTAAAATCACTGTTATGTGTAAGATACCTAAATACATAGAAGGATATTACATGTGAAAAACCACAGATTGTTAGCAACTTACCATTTGTAGGTAAGATTTGAAAAGGTTTTTTTTAAATTGAGAGCTTATTTTTACACGTAATGAAATGGGTGCTAGGCACTGTGGCCTAGCATGCTAATCCCCCCTGTGGTGCTGGCATCTCCAAAAGGCTGATTCTAGACCTGGCGGCTCCTGCCCTCCAGCTCCCTGCTTAGGTCTTGGAGGGCCCAAGACCTTCCACCCCTGCACCCACATGGGAGATCTGGAAGGAGTTCCTGGCTCTTGGCTTTGGATCAACTCAGCTCTGCCGTTGCAGCCAATTTGGGGAATAACCAGCACAAGGAAGACCTCTGTCTCCCCTCTCTCTCTTTGAAATCTGCCTTTCAAATAAGAAGAAACAAATCTAAAGTAAATTTAAAAAAGTAGGATGAGCAACTTGCTTGTGGTTACACCACCAGGTTGTGATGGCAACTGAATGAAAATTCAAAGTTATTCAGTAAAATTTATCTCACATTAACAAGCAGTGAAATGAGTAAGAAAAATCCAATGTTAGATAATGAAGAATGCTTTACCCTTGATCTTAGCCCAAAGGCCGAGAAGCGATGATGATGAAGAATGCTTTAAAATGAGTTGCAACAGATAAGTATATTTTCCTGTTTGGAATTTTTTAGACTGGTTCAGCCACTATGAGAATATGGTGTGGCACTGTGCTTGGCTCAGATCCTCTGGGGACCCGCCATGTTGCAAGTGGCAGGTGAACTGCTGACACCAGCTTTCTACAGGGAGTTGGGAGTGGAGAAACCATGCGTGGACTTTTCCTGAGGCTGAGTGATTTTAGAACTCAGGAGAGTGTGATGTTACATATCCCGTCATAGCAGGGCCAGCCACGTTTCTTCAAGAAGAGTTAGTAAATGTCTCTGATACTTGAGAACCTTTTTATAACTCTTCCACTCTGCCGTGGCACAGAAGCAACCCTGGGTATTATGCAAACAGATGGCAGTGACTGTGTTCCAAGTAGCCAGTGGGCCTGAGTTGCCCACCTCTTCCTGAAAGTACATTTATTGGTGAGAAATATTTCCTGAGTAGGCAATGTTAGCCTTAATTACAGTAGTATAGCAGGGCTGGATGGAGCGTGTTCTCTGTTTTGGTAGATGCCACCTGTCTTAAGGGCGTCCTTGGGTATTTGTGCCCAGCAGCTCTGTGTCCCTCCTATCCTGGGTAGCTCCTTCACTTTTGTGTCGTGAATGGACAACCCTGCTGAGCGTGCTGTAGCTGCCTTGTAACAGGGTCATGAAGCAATCTCCATGGAGAACCTAAGTGCTGCCTTCCGGGTACCCTGCACTTGAGTGCTTACCTTACGTATGCTGAAATACGGAGGTTCAGGATGTGTTGTAGGATCCGTCTGCCTGGGTGGGCTTGGGCAGCCTGTGGCAGTGCTGCCAGGTGGCAGACCCCCCCGGGGACCTGTGAGAGAGATTGGAATGTTATGTAAAGCATCAGACATGGGTAATTTGCAGGTAACAAACAGAATTTTAAACATTTCTGGGCTGAGGATAGCACTTGGAGGGGGGATTAAGAGAAGAGGCAGCTGCTCAGTGTTAGCTGGGTAGGAAGCAGTTCAAGGTTGTGTGGGGCCTGAGGCGTTGAGTGCCCAGGAATCCTAGGAAGGGGATTTTGTGAACTTGTTTAGTTTCAGGAGCGCCTGTTCAGCTGGCTGCTCTGCTTCTGAAGTGGCTTCCTGTGGCTGTCTTCGGGAAGGTGGCAGGTGAAGCCCCAAGCAGTTGGGCCGCTGCCACTGATGGCAGAGACCAGGCTGGAGTTCCTGTGTTCAGCCTTGTCCAGCTTTGGCAGCCGATGGAGGGTGACCAGTGGGTCAAACATCTCTGTCACTCTGTCTTTCAAAAATAGGGGGCTGGTGTTGTGGTGTAGCACATAAAGCCACTGCCTGAGATACAGGTATCTCATGTGGGTATCGGTTCAAGTCCTGGATGCTCCACTTCCAGTCTAGCTCCCTGTAAAGTGCCTGGGGAAGCAGTGGAGGACAGCCGGCCCTACCTGTTAGTAGCCATTCGGGCAGTGGTCTTTTGCACCCTCTGTAACTCTGCCTTTAGATAACTATAGATACAGTAAAAAACAAAACAAAAAACCTTATGCCTTCTGACTTAGCAAATCTACTTTTGAAGTTCTTTGCCTTTTTTCCCTTAAAATACTGTCTTCCGTGGTCTCTGTTGCTGTAACTGAGTATCTTAAGCTTGGTAATGTGAGGAAAAGGAGTTGTTAAGCTTCTAGTTTTGAAGGAATTCAGCATGGTCTCAGGGTGTCTGCTTAGAGCCTTCTTGCTGGTCATGAGCTCGGACCCAGGCGGTTCAAGCAGGGGGTTCTGAGTGTTGTGGCTCAAGATTTCTTCCTTATAAAGTTTTTTCTTTCTTTTTTTTTTTTTCCTTTTTATTTGTACTTTGAATTTTTTGGTACAATTATATAGGGTCTGGGATTCCCACCTCCTGCTTGATTTTCCCCATGTTGTTACAGTAGTATAGTCCTGCATGAGCAGTCGGAAGTCCATCAGTCTGTTATTGGAATGTGCCCCGACATTGCCGGTACAGACAACGCTACACAGTGCAGCCCTTTTCTTAGAAAATTACAGTTCTTTTGGATTAGGCCCCTTGTATTTGGACCTCATTTAACCTTAATTGCCTCCTAACGATCTATTTCCAAACACTGTGAGTGATTGTCTACCCTCTGAGTACTGGACAACATGGATTAAATTTCAGTGTGGGTTTTTGGTAGAGGCCAAATGCAGTCAGGCTTTGAGTCCCAGAAATTCAACATACAGACAAGTGGAGGTAGCTCAGACTGACAGCAGGTACATTTTGACCTTTATAGTTTGGGAGAATTCTTTTGATAAGAATGAAAAATCTCAAGTGCTTGTCAAGCTTCAGTGTGCATATTAATTACTTGACCCTTGCTAACAGGTTGGCTCCAGCTCAGTAAAGCTCAGATGAATGGGGTTTGATGTTCGCATCAAATGACGGGTTCTGTGTAGCACTTTGTGAAGATGCCAGAGTAGCTCAGGTGCAGAGTGTCTTGGCATCCCTGGTGGAGTGTTGAGTGTGAGCAGCTGTTGTAGAGTTACTGTAATTTATGCAGCTGACTGGCAGTGCCCCATTGGGTGTTTCAGGTTTTTCAGTTACTTTGAACAGTTTGAAGATTACTCTTGCTTCAGGTCCCCGTTTGGTGGGAATGTTAGGAGGGTGATTGCCAGGTCACGGAGTGACCTGTCAGGTACCAGATGATGCTTGCGTAGGTCATGCTGAGCTGTTCTCTGAAACGATCATATTCATGTATGTACCAGTCATCTGTGTATAAATGTCCTAACTATGACACACTGTTAGTAATGTTTAATATAGTTAGGCTTTTAAATTTTGCTCACCCATTTAACACAAAATGCTATTTCATTGTGAATGTTTCTGTAACTTTTAATAATTAAGTTGGTTTTCTGATTTTACAGATAGCTAGTCCCCCAGAGTACTTTCTGAATTATCTGGAAACTTTTTGATTGCAAGCCAGATCATGTCAGTTCACCCTTTGGTTAGTGCGTTGTTACACTGACTGTTTTGGGGTGCATTGTGTATTCACAGCAGCATCTTGCTGCTTCATGGTCAGAAATCTCCGCAGCTTTCAGGTGCTTCTGCTGAGAGCAGTTGCAATCAGAAAAATAATTTCATGTTAGCTGATTTAATGTTGTTTTCTCTTCTCATGGGTATGCGCACTTTTCCTGGTTATAAATCATTTGTCTCTTGCTTAGTCGCCTGCTGGAGGTCATGCGATAAAGTGAAAGTGCATAGAACTGTAAGCTGCTAGGCTTGGGACACCAGCAGACTGTTCTAGAAGCCGGTGCACAGGGGCGTGATTGCACAGAGAGACAGTGGACAGTAAGACTGGCCTCTGCTGAGAATGCCTTTGCCAATTTACAAAACGCCTTTTGTGTTTTAGCACCAGTATGCACGAGCGAGTACACCGAACAGAAAGACAGTTTCGATCACTTCCAGCTAATCAACAGAAACTACTGCCTCAGTTCCTTCTTCACTTGGACAAGATCCGAAAATGTATTGATCATAACCAAGAAATGCTGCTGACCATTGTGAACGATTGCGTACATATGTTTGAAAATAAGGAATATGGAGAAGACGTATGTAAAGGCTTCCTTTTCTTCCTTTCTATTTTGGGATGTTTTCAGACCTTTTATCTTTGTGGATTTTATTTTTATAATCTTGACACAGCTCATTTGCTCTTTTCAGAGTGTCTCTTCCTTCTGTATCATATTGATTAGGCTTAAAGGTCCAATATGCAAAGACCAGATTCACAAACAAAAATAGTTGTTGGGTTTTTGATATGGTATTTTACATGTTCTAGTGTTAGAGCATTACATTTGTATTCAGTTTTATTAGGTAAGTAAAATTCATTTCCCATGCTAAACTTATTTTTACAACATATCTATTGATGTTTATGTTTTAACAAGCATTTTTCTCTCAAGGGACTGGCCATAATAGGAACTGAAGTATCATTGTATTTGGAGGATATTTTGGGGCCACTTGAGTGGGAACCTCTTGGCTACTCCATGGATGACCTGAAGGCCCTTATTTCCTCTTTCAGGAGAGAGGGGGTGGCCCTCGTTGTTACAGCAGATAAAGCCACTACCTGTAACTCCAGTATCCCATTTGGGCGCTAGCTAGTTTCCCTGTTGCTCTGCTTATGGTGGCCTAGGAAAGCAGCAGCAGACGGCCCAAGTGTTTGAGTACCTGGCAGCCACATAGAGTAGAGGAAATTCCTGCCGTCAGCTGGCCCAGCCCTGGCAGGCATCCAGGGAGTGAAGCAGCCACCCAGGAGATGTGGAGGAGGTTCCTGCCTTCAGCTGGCCCAGACCCGGCAGACATCCAGGGAGTGAAGCAGCCACCCAGGAGATGTGGAGGTAGTTCCTGCCTTCAGCTGGCCCAGACCCGGCAGGCATCCAGGGAGTGAAGCAGCCACCCAGGAGATGTGGAGGTAGTTCCTGCCTTCAGCTGGCCCAGACCCGGCAGGCATCCAGGGAGTGAAGCAGCCACCCAGGAGATGTGGAGGTAGTTCCTGCCTTCAGCTTCAGGGAGTGAAGCAGCAGATGGAAGATCTTTGTCTGGACTTTCTAATAAAAGCCAGCTTAGTTCTGTCCTCTCCCAAGGAATGGCTGCTTGATTATATGATAACTTTACCAAAAAGGGGCCTTCATCCAGTGAGGGTAGAAGTGAGACCACCAAACTCCTTGACTTAGGATCTCAAGCTGCCCTTGACCGCCTCCTGGGCTGGCCAAGAGCTAGGAAGTTACTGGCTGGGCTGCTCTGTGGGCCTTGAGAGCACGTCTGATGAGTCTTATTCAAAAATGATGACTTTCTGATGCTAGTTGATTCATCTTTCAACAGGGCAGCGGGAAGATCACGCCGGCGTCCACATTTGACATGGACAAGTTGAAGTCCACACTGAGACAGTTCGTCAGGGACTGGAGCGAGACGGGGAAGGCTGAAAGAGAAGCCTGCTACCAGCCGATCATTACAGAGATTCTAAAAAGCTTCCCCAAAGAGAGATGGTAAATGCTGCCTTATTTTTACAGATGTGTAAACATGGAGTTTTCCTGAAGACATTCACACGCTGTCCTGTTCTAGAGTTGCTGTGTGTTTGGCATATGTTAGTGATATGTTTGTCACTGGTTGCTTTGTGTAAAATTGCAGATTACATTTTGAATAATTTTTGCTGTGGTTGTTGTAGGAAGTTCTCTACAAGTTAAATAAGGTTAGAGTGACTGCTTCCAATCGGTATGAATCTTTAGACTTTGCTTCTGGGAAAGTCAAAAAGCTACACACATTTGGTTCTCCTTACAACTAGCTTGGCAGCAAGTCAGGCTCCGCACCCTTGAGGGTCGGTTAGGGCCTTTTTGTGCCATAGACCCTGGGCTGTCTGAGGCCTGGGACATGCTTTTCAGAATCCCATTCTTTATTTTCTTTTTTTCCTTTTTCTTTTTCTCTTTTTCTTTACATTATATTATTGTTGCTATCATTTTATGATACAGTTCTATTCTCTTACACCTCCGCAACTCCGCCCCCCCCACGCCCAGTTGCTTTATATCATTACTAAAATTGAGTTCTTCATACTCAGTCATATGTGCACCATTGTGGGCATGGAAAATGGCAGAGAGTCCAGAATCCTATTGTCAAAATATAATAAAAACAATTTCACTGTAAGTCCATCTTTGTCTGAAAACAGAGATGCAAACCACACTGCATCCTCACATCTGGTCTCCAGGTGCCCCTCTACTGCTGCTCTTCTGTCCTTTCGTATTTCCTGAAATATGTCCTCTCTGCTTCATTCTGGTTAAATGCTTCTCTGTCCGATTAAACATGTCCTTACCCTTTTCCGCCATCTTGATTCTCCGTGTCTTTCAATTCTTGAATACTTGTTGTGGCCTGATCCAGCTCTGCTTCCAGCTTTTTGTTTGCTTCCCCCTGGTGACAGGAGATATCTGCCAATTCTGATATTTTTCTTCTGCTTGCTTCATTCTATTTTGGAGACTCTCCACTGTACTTGTAATTTGCTCTACTGTGTTCTTAATTTCTGATATTCCAGTCTTGATTTGCTTTACTGCTTCCTTAAATTCTTTGAGCTCTTGCGTTAACTTCTCATTTTTGACCAGAATCTTTAAAATGAGTCTTATGGATTCTGTGTCCCCCATTTTCTCAATGTCTTCCTCCGTTAACTCTGAGGTTGGCATAGGGTTTTGCTCCTTTGCAGGGGGGGTTTCAGTAATATTCATTGTGCCTTTGTCTCTTCTTTTGCTCTTGATCATTGTACTTCTGGTTAGCAGAGTCTTCTTCTTGGGGCAGGTTTCTAAGCTGTGTCACCCACAGGTCTACAATGCGATTTTACTTATTGCAGTTGGTACACAACTTTTTGCTTGCAGCCGCTTGTGCCACAAACCTCCAGCGAGTTCCAGGTCTGGCTTCTTATGTCAGATATCCACCGTGGTCTCCACAGCCCCAGCTCTTGGCTCACCACTCTCCACCTCCTGTGATACCGTGCTGAGGCTGCGCTGTTGTCTCTGCAACCTTTCTCCCTCTTCTGGCTGGCGTGGGTTCCAGGATTAAAGAGACACCAGGTGTACTGTCTAGTTAGGTTGTTGGTGGCGCTGATCTTGTTGGAACTTGCTGGATGTTAGGTCTGGGTGCCCCACGGACCTGTTTTGACCGGTACGATGCCACAGTCGGTATTATTTTCCTGCGGGACCTCAGCGAGTTCTCGCGAGCTCAGCACATGCGCAGTTCACTGTTGTCCCCTGCAGTCCCAAAGCCATTGCCACAGTGCTCAAAATGGCGCCCGACGTGCTACCACAACAGTTCTTGATCTGCTGGCTGTCAGATCCGAGGGCTACCCAGACCTGCCCCAGATGGAACCCGTAGAATGCCACGTCGTTGCAGTTCACGGAGTCAGAAATGAGCTCGCTCCCCGCTCAGAGCATGCTCAGTCCTTTTCCTTGCCCTTTCCTCCTTAGGCAAAATGGCGAACAATTCAGCTCTAAGGGGCTGACTGGGCTATGAAATCCTCGCTGCTCTCGCACTGCCCACCTGGGATCTGCTGCTCTGTCTCTGCGCCGGGTCAAATCAAACGGACCAGCAGGACAGACAGTTCCCCGTCTGGGTTCACCTCCCAAGCTCCCAGTGAAAGTCCCTTCCCACCTGGTTGCTGGTGGAGTTCCGGCTGCTGGTGGAGTTTAGATCGCCGTGCTGGAATATCATTCACTGCCACACCACACTGCTGTGCCCGCTGCTTTCCTGTGTCTGTCGGTCTCCAGGTGCCCCTCTACTGCTGCTCTTCTGTCCTTTCGTATTTCCTGAAATATGTCCTCTCTGCTTCATTCTGGTTAAATGCTTCTCTGTCCGATTAAACGTGTCCTTACCCTTTTCCGCCATCTTGATTCTCCGTGTCTTTCAGTTCTTGAATACTTGTTGTGGCCTGATCCAGCTCTGCTTCCAGCTTTTTGTTTGCTTCCCCCTGGTGACAGGAGATATCTGCCAATTCTGATATTTTTCTTCTGCTTGCTTCATTCTATTTTGGAGACTCTCCACTGTACTTGTAATTTGCTCTACTGTGTTCTTAATTTCTGATATTCCAGTCTTGATTTGCTTTACTGCTTCCTTAAATTCTTTGAGCTCTTGCGTTAACTTCTCATTTTTGACCAGAATCTTTAAAATGAGTCTTATGGATTCTGTGTCCCCCATTTTCTCAATGTCTTCCTCCGTTAACTCTGAGGTTGGCATAGGGTTTTGCTCCTTTGCAGGGGGGTTTTCAGTAATATTCATTGTGCCTTTGATCCTTGCTGCCCCGCTTGCCATCCAGCTCCCTGCTTGTTCCTTGGGAAAGCAATAGGGCACGGTCCAGAGGCCTCTGACTCTGCACCTGTGTGGGAGTCCAGGTTGAGGCTCCTGGCTTTGCCTCAGTTCAGCTCCCGCCGTTTTGGTTACCTTGGGAGTTAACCAGTGGATAGAAGCTCTTTCTCTATCTCTCCTCTCTGTAAATCTGACTTTGCAATAAAAAGAAATATATCTTTTAAAAAAAACCTGACTAGCAAAAAAACAGAAGTGAAACCATTTGGAGACTGGCTTGTGTTCAAATATATGTTAGTTGTATGAGACCTAGAGTTAGCTCTTAAGGAAGCAAATTCGAAGTATAGTTACAGTTTTAATTATTCTGCATATGTTAATAGACATAATTAATAATTGTTACTTGCTTCTTTATGGTAAGAATCTGAGATGTAAGATTCAGAGTAGTATTCTTAATTATTCACTGCCTTTTTAGTCTTGAGCCATGCAGATATGTTATAAACATTTCTTGTTACATTTTTTAGAAAGAAGTTATTCCTATGGCATCAACACTAAGTTAATATGAAATAATTCAATACTGGACTTGGTAAATATTTTACAGTATTCATTTCACTTGTTTTTTAATTTTCAGGGGCCAAAGCGCTATTAATGTAGTTACTATTCAGGTAGTATTGGTGAGGTCCTGTACTGCTTACAATTCCTAATTCTTTGAAGGAAATGCTCTCTGTTGCCTGTCGTTGTATACATTGAAGATGGTTTATCGTATATGAAGTTATGATCTTTGATCTCCTAGCTTTGGAAGCAATTTTTAAGTTTTTGTTGTTGCTTTGGATATCTGTTGTGAGATTTCTCATTTATGGTGGTTTGCTTCTCCAAGCTCTGGTAACTGCCTGTGGTCAGCAGGCTGACACTGAAAGCCTAGAATACTGCTCAGGTCAGCCGTGTGCGGTAGAGCCCCTTTCATAAAGGCCCAATGGGAAAAAATTAAAATCTTCTCTAACTCAACAATCCATTGCCTGGTTCTTGGTCTTTTTATTTCAGTGTTGAAGACAGCTTGTTTTAATATTATAATGTGCCCATTAAAATCTTTTCTGTCATACTGCATATTGGCATTTAAGTAGTAGTCTCTGCAAATTCTTTAAAATGAAAGCCGTGATGTAGTTTTATTCATGATACTGTTAATATACTTTGCTACAAAGTGGGGGAACAAAGTTTATGGGTTTTGATTATTGAGAGACACTGATGTTTAAAGCAGTTAAAGGGCATGGTGCAATAGCCTAACTGCTATGTCCCCTCAGGATCCCATATGGGTGCTGGTTCTAATCCCAGACACCCCGCTTCCATCCTGCTTGTGGCCCGGGAAAGCAGTCGAGGATGGCCCAAAGCCTTGGGACCCTGTACCCATGTGGGAGACCTGGAAGAGGCCCCTGGCTCCTTGCTTTGGATCAAGTCAGCTCTGGGCGAAAGTCATAAAATTAACTTATAGTTAACGTATAGATTGAATTTTCAGAAGCCCCACAGTGCCGTTTAGTTTCATCTAAAGCAGGATATGTAAAATCACGAGCTATGGCTAGTCAAGGCGCTGTTGCTGTTTCAACGTGCCAAATACAAGTTGTGTAAAGATAAAAATAATTTTAAGTGGAAGTAGCATTGGAAGCTGCATTTCATTTGCAAGCCAAATTTCAGAGAGGAAATGGATAAAATGGCACCTGATTATACTTTCCATGTAAGAGTACCGTTTAATTTGCTCTGGATTCTTTTGATTTGCCAGAATTCCTGAGGAAGGGCCTTCGTTTGGGAGTCTTCGAGCAGTGTGAAAGTGAGGCGCCAGGTCTCACAGGAAGGCGTGTGAGTTAACACAGAACTAGCAGATAAAATTGGTGTGGCTACGAACTTCTGCTTTGCCGTCATGCTTGCTCAGTTAGAAGGCCGTTCCATTTTCCCCAGCTTTGCTTGCTGGAATGAGCATACAGGAAGCTCTAGACATAGACCTGATGTGTTAAAAGTACATGCATCTAATGTTCACATAAGTAATTGTTTTTACATACAGAATTCTTTTGTTCAGGCTTTTCCTGTGTAATTGGGATCCTTTGGAATGATGTCTTCCGAAGAGGTTTTTGGGCGGAAGATGCTGGGAGCATGGGCAACTGTGCGCTTTAGCATAGATGGCAACTGCCTTTTTTCTGAAGAACAGATGATGAGTGGTAAAGCGCTAACTTTTTTCTCAACAATGTTTTTATCAATTTTAGGATGTCAGAGTCTGAGGAGCATTTCAGATGACCACACCTTTAGGTGTCACTGCTGACTGTTTTCATCTCCTACAAGGGTTGGACATAATTGCCTCATTTCATTCCAGGGATCCTTCTAAAGTGAACGTTCTGGTACCTGGTGCTGGACTGGGAAGGCTGGCCTGGGAAATAGCCATGCTCGGCTATGCTTGTCAAGGAAACGAGTGGAGCTTTTTCATGCTGTTTTCTTCCAACTTTGTACTCAACAGGTATTTGTTTTTGTTGGATACAATAATTTCTCAGAATCAGATTGACTTGCTTTTGTTTTTTTTTTTAACAATTCTGAATTTGAAGATAGTTACCTAGCATTTGATTATAATACACATCATAAGTGCTAAAATGAAAAGACATATACAAATTATCATCTAAGTCAGTTGTCTGATTGAAATAGTATGAATAAATGACTCTTCAGAAAGTAATGGGAATTCCAGGGCCCAGTGTGGTAATCTAATGGCTGAAGTCTTTGCCTTGCTAGTACCAGGATCCCATATGGGCACCCGTTCTAATCCCGTTAGCCCCACTTGCCATCCAGCTCCCTGCTTGGGTCCTGGGAAGGCAGTAGAGGATGGCTCAAATCTGTGGGACTCTGCACCTGTGTGGGAGACCCGGAAGAAGCTCCCTGGCTTCAGATTAGTTCCGCTCCAGCTGTTGCGGCTGCTTGGGAAGTGAACCATCAGATGGAAGATCCTCCTCTCTGTATATCTGCCTTTCCAATAAAAATAAATAAATCTTAAAAAAAAAAAAAACCTTAAATAATTATTACAGTGTTTAAATTAGATTTTCTTGGCAAAATATTTAGGTAACCCTGAATTTTTGCTCATGTTTTGCAGATGCTCTGAAATTAACAAATACAAACTTTACCCCTGGATCCATCAGTTCAGCAATAACCGGAGGTCAGCTGACCAGATCCGACCCATCTTCTTTCCGGACGTGGACCCGCACGGCCTTCCTCCTGGGTCCAACTTTTCCATGACTGCAGGAGATTTTCAGGAGATCTATTCAGAATGCAGTAAGTTGAAAGTACTTTCAAAAGGGTCTAGTGAGCAAAGCATTGTTTCTAGGAGACTTAAGATTCTAGTAGAGAGGGAGGGAGGGAAAGGGAGACCAGAAGATAGAAGGAGGCCATTAGTAAATCTAGTATTGGGAGGAAGGAACACGAGCTGGGGCCGTGGGGTACAGAGTGACTGGGCCTGCCGGATAGAGTTGTTAGGGGGAGCTTGTAAGAGCAGAAACTAGAAAGTGTCAGGCATAGAACCTCAGCATGAACGGGCACAGGAGGTAAATGAAGGAATGGTAAGGGAAAGGGGGCAGGGTGCAGAGTCCTTGTTCTGCTCCAGGAAGAGTGGGGTTGTCCCTGTGCTGAACTGCAGTCTCCGACAGACGCAGTCTGTCTCCGGGGACACTCCCTGCTGGTGCTTCTGCACTGTGATGTGCAGGCATTTCAGTGTCACTCACTTCTGCATTGGTATTAAGTCAGTGCCTGCAGTGTTTCTGAAACTTGCCAGAATTGGGAAATCAGAATAAATCCAAATGACTATTATTTTGTTTACCTGGTTCTAAATGAAGGCAAGTTGAATAGATAATGAAGATGATATCCTTGGTAATGGTATTATTAATCTGTTAACAAAAAGGAACTCCAAATTGATGATGATTATTGATAAAATTTTCTTAAGCTGCATACATTGAAATATCTTCCATGAAGGATTGTTTGGTTTTGTCCTAGTTTTGATGAGAGGAATTTAGCTTCTGCATGCCTGCAGTTAAGTAAAACATCGATATTCTGTAGGAGTTAAGTGATGGGTTTAAGGAATTGAGAGGAGAGGGGAATAACATAACATACATGATTGGATTTTTCTTAGATACCTGGGACTGCATTGCTACTTGTTTCTTCATCGACACAGCTCACAATGTGATTGATTATATCGATACAATATGGAAAATACTCAAGCCAGGTGGAATTTGGATAAATTTAGGTGAGTTCTTCAGTAGTTATTAAATTTTATCACATTGACCTGATTACTTCGAGGTGTTGTGCATTTGCTAACTTCACAGTAGACCCAGTGTTCATGAAAATTGCCGTAATGCTTCCTGTTTTATAACCTGAACCTTTCTGTAGACTTTGCTAGTGGGCACACCTCCAGGGACAGTGGGAGTGGGAAGCTAGGTATTCATGTTTAGCTGAATCTGACACACATCACTTATAAAGCACACGTTTTTAGTGTATATTGTGAATCCATTTTGCCTGTTTTGGGAGAAAATTGTGCCTCTTATGAAATACTTCCCACTACAGAAGTTGGTCATTTTTCAGTGATTAACTTGTGTTTCAGAGAGAACAGAAATATATTTCCATTTATGCAAAAACATTTTTACTGCATAATAGTGCAACCCTTTGGGTTAGGTTAGTCGGCTTTGTACATTTGTGTTCTTGGAATCTGCTGTAGCGTTTATCACATTACATCACATTTATAAACATTACAAATGAGTAAGAATGGCATTCACATGTAGTAGCATGCCAAGGGGAGAAATCCCAGCAGTGTGATGTGATTACTCAGTTACTCAAACTTACATGTCTATCTTCTAGAGAAGAGGGAAAAATAAGGATTGTAGATGAAGATTTATTATTGGAAAGGCAGAAACACAGAGAAGGAGATACAGAGGGAAAGATCTGCCATCTGCTGGTTGTACCCAAGTGGCCGCAACAGCCGGGGCTGAGCTGATCCAAAGCCATCCTCGACTGCTTTCCCAGGCCAGAGGCAGGGAGCTGGATGGGAAGTGGAGTAGCCAGGACACGAACTGGCGCCTGTATGGGATCCTGTCACATGCAAGGCAAAGCTTTAGCCACTAAGCTAACGCACTCGGCCTGACTGTAGTCAATTTTGAGTATTTTAACTTATTTAATTGAATGAGTGTTTACAGAGATACCAGTTAGTTTATAAGAAGATGCTTTTGGGGCCCTTTAGCAACCACTAGGTCAGTTTTTCCTGCCATTTACTGCAGTTAAAGAAAAGAAAGTTTACCCATTTCTTATTCTGATTTTAAATATAATTCTTACACTTCCTACCATTTTATGTGGGGTGTCATTTCTTTGGCCCAAAGAATCTAATCAAATTGCAGATCATTTTAATCCAAGTAGTCCTGTACCCTCAGCCAAAAATATCTAGGTTTACCCCAGGTTAATTTCCTAGGTTCCTAGTAATTTCTTACTAGCTCTCCAACTTATAATAAAAATAGGTGCTGACCTTATAGCGTGCCAAGTAAAGCAGCTGCCTACAATGCTGGTGTCCAATATGGGCACCAGTTCACATCCCAGTTGCTCCACTTGCAATCTGATTCCTTCCCGGTGGCCTGGGAAAAGCAGAGGAGCAGGGCCAAAGTGCTTGGGCCCCTGCACCATGTAGGAAAGCTGAAAGAAGCTCCTGGCTCCTGGCTGCAATGTGGCTCAGCCTGGCAGTTAACAAATAGAAGGGTTCTCCTTCTCTCTTTGACTCTGCCTTTAAAATAAATAAATGTGTCTTCTTAAAAATATTTAATTTTGTTATCAAAAATCTTGAAATCCATGCACAGAATTTTTACATAATACAAACTTTCTGAATTTTTTGAAAATCACTGCCAGTTTGAAATGTGGGGATTGGGGGCTCCTCAGTAATCCCAGAGTTCCAGGTGAAGTACTGTTGACTTGAATAATGACAGTGGAAGGCAGGTATACCAGATGCTCACTCTTGTTCTTTGTATAAGCCCTGACCCCAAATTTCTGTTTTGGGGCTTAAGTTTAAAAGTTCTGGATGATTTTCCTTAGCAAATGTTCGTTAATTCTTTTTATTATGTTTGTCTCATACACCACCCAATTTATTATTCAGCTTGGAGTTCATTGTAACAATGGCTCTTGGTGCATGTTCATTTTCAACCAATTCATTTCCATCGTCTTTAAACCATAGGACCTCTTTTGTACCACTTTGAAAATTTGGCAAATGAGCTTTCCATAGAATTGAGCTATGAGGACATAAAAAATGTTGTTCTGCAGTATGGATTCCAAGTAGAGGTAAGGATGGAATAAGTATTACCATGGTTTAACTTCAAAATATTATGGCCGATACTGGCTTTTCTTCATCTTTTTCTTTTCTCACGCATTGAGCATGAAGGTAATTTGGGTATGCAGAATGTGAAGGATTTGGGATAAAGTGTATTTAGAGGGGAGGCATTTCAGTGAGTAGTAACTGATCCTTGGAGTAGTGGCTTCGTTGAGTGACTGACAGGTACCGAGAGACGACTCTGATGTGGAGGAAGGTGGGCACACTGGCGCGGGCAGTGAGGCTTGATGTTCTCTGTATGTCCTTGTTTGGTGGATTTTTATCATGTACACTAAAGGTTTTTTTTTTTTTTTTTAAGATTTATTTTATTTTTATTGGAAAGTCAGATATACAGAGAGGAGAGACAGAGAAAGATCTTCCTTCCGATGATTCACTCCCCAAGCTCCGCAACAGCCGGTGCTGCGCCGATCCAAAGCCAGGATCCAGAAACTTCTTCCAGGTCTCCCACATGGGTGCAGGGTCCCAAGGCTTTGGGCTGTCCTAACTGTTTTCCTAGGCCACAAGCAGGGAGCTGGATGGGAAGTGGAGCTGCTGGGATTAGAACTGGCGCCTATATGGGATCCTGGTACATTCAAGGCGAGGTTTTGATGAAACCCTGCTGTCTGTTCCAGTTCTCGAGAATAGAGAGACAGTATGTTAGAGTAATTTAGGGTTTAGCAGTTAAGACCTCTCTCTGAGTGTGACTCTCAGTTCTACTACATTGCTGACGAGTCTTAAAGCAAGTTCTTTAACCTGTCCTTTTTAAAGTGGTATTACTCATAGTACCAGTTTATGGGGAGAATTGCGTGAAGTAACTGGATAATCTTCAAACAGTGCCTACTACCGACTGCTCAGTGTGTTGGCAGTATTATTATCATTGTCATCATCGTTGTTGTTTGCATTACAGGTGGAAAAGGAATCTGTCTTGTCAACATATACTGTGAATGATCTCTCGATGATGAAATACTACTATGAGTGTGTTCTGTTTGTGGTCCGTAAGCCACAATAATGGTCTACAGCGACATTGCCCAGTAAAAAGTCTAGTAAGAAAAATACTGAAATAAACAGCTGAAAATCAACAATCTGTGATGACAGGACACAACCTCAAATCAGTGGTGCCTTCTTATTCCTAACAAAATTTAGAAATAGTGTCTATTTTCTTAATATGTCTGTTGCTTTTTCACAAATACACTCTGCCGTGCAGGTCTGTACTACACAAGTAAAACCAGATGAAGAAACGTTGGCACGGCATGCCTTCCTTGCAGCCCAGGTCCGCCTTCCCACAGTGTCTTCATGAAGCTATCCATCCAAGTGTGCCATCTTACTGACTAGGAGTATTGAAGTCCATAATAATCTCTTCTTGTTGTTTCTCCTTTTGCATGGGACCTGTTGCTTTCGGCAGAGGCTAAGGCTCTCCTGTCATACTCAGCTTCTGCAGTTGGGGCTTAAGATAATCATGGTGGCCTAAGCAGTCTATACATGAAATATATGTGTATTTTATCCTTCAAACTATTTTTTCAAGCTCTGCTGAGCTTAGAGAAGCATCAGAAAATTTCATTCTCCTGAGATGCTAAGTTTAATAGCGTCACAGGTCAGTCAGGTGCACTCAGATAACTGAGAAATCAAGTCCTTCAGCCAGACTGAACCAAACACTTGCTGAGCGCATACACATCCTGGGTCACACAGGAGATCTCCGCGTCACACGTGAGGTGCAGAAGCTTCTGTAAAGGTAGTGTCGGTGTCCGGAGGAAACGTGAGTACCACCTGCCCATCTGAGGTGGATGAGGTCAAAGCCACGAGTGCAGTTTGTCAGTGCTGTAAAGGTAGTGTCAGGGTCCTGAGGAAATGCAAGTACCAATGTCCATCTGAAGTGGATGATGTCAAAGCCACGAGTGCAGTTTGTCAGTGTGATGTTTACACTAATGTCTAGACTATCTGGATTATGAAAGCACTTTTTTTAAAAAACAATTATATGCTAGTGAAAACTGTCATAATGGTATTAACGTAGGAAAATTTTGAATATGAAATTCAGGGACAAATTAGTGCCCTTGGTCTGTGTCTTCAATATTGTAAGCAGCAGCCATTGATGTAACTTCAGATGAACATGTTTTGTTCCTTTGGTTGGTGGAGCCTAAAAAGTGGATGCTGCTGTCAATCTCTACCTCTAACAGATCTTCATCAGAGGGAGTTCTTTTTTGTTACTGTTCTTTAATGTTCATTGTTCTGTTTCCAATAGCTTTAAAATAGAGATGACTGATGTTTAGACCTTGTCTTGGAGGAAAGAACTCTGAATATTTTCACAGATTCTTGTGATGCTTTAAAGAATCTCTGGCAGTTTGGTTTAAATGGACTTCATGTGCTTGTAGCATAAATGTTATGTTTTAATAGGGACACTGATTTGTGAGTCTCTAGACCTTTGTTGTCACTTAGGTGAGGCAGTTGCTGTTGGAGGTGACATCTTCACTGGCCTACAGTGCAGGTGGTTTTGTGATCGCTCCTCCCACCGTGTGCAGGAGGGATCCTTGGAGTAGCTCTGACTTGTGAAATTAGGCAAGATTATAACCTAAACTTTTTAAAAACAATTTCTCACTCTGTGTCCCTCAGTACTTGACAGGTGTTCATTTGATGTGAATTCCCTTTACCCATATCAATTAATTTGAAACTAATTACAAGGGGAAATTTAAAAAAAAAAAAAACATTTCTCTATTATCCTAAAAGGAGCAAACTTTTGAAAAGCATCCATTGAATGAGAAGGCTTGAGTGCTGGCTTTGGTTAGTTTAGAAGTACTATTTAGTCATTGACTAGTATTTACTTTTTTACAACATTTATCAAAACAGATGATCATTTTCCTGACACAGGCAAAAACAGGTTGACACTGGTGGGTTAGTTTGATAAGTTAAAATTTTTTGCTACCAGGTGATATTGTTTAAAAATGTTATTCACATTTCTAAATCAGCTATATTAATTCTGAAACCTTTTAATTGGTTTTATTTTCTGACATCATGAATATTTTAATGTTCTACTTAAATTTAAATCCTTTTTTCTTTCTTATAGCTTTTGCCGTTAATATATTCTAAACTTGAAAATGTAGAATCAGTATTAGAAGTGTCACTGGATGGTTTAATTTTTATGTCCTATGTTTAATGCTAACTACTAAAATGTGAGCCTTAAAAGTTTTTTCCCCTTAGTTTTACACACAAAGGTCTCCATTTTCATAAAGTGGGAGGAAATAGGTTATTGAGCTTGCTTTAAAAAAAAAAATCCTCTATTCTGAAGTAGTGCAGATTAAGAGTACGGTAATCAAGTGAGCCTGACGGTATATAAGATGGTGTATATATACAACATGAAGAGATGCTGTAAAATCACAGTCTAACAATTATCAAGTTTGGGAGTGTAAAGTGTCCCGCGTTGATGTGTCACTCATTCTCAAAGCTGCCACAAAGGCTGAATTGGAAGCTTCATGTCTGCATGAAATTTCCTATATTTTTAATGTGTACGATGGACTTAATTTTTCTTGAATATTAAAGTCTGCTGATTGCTATGAAACTATATTTGCTTCTTTGTTTCCATCTAAGTTGATAACTAACTGTGGGAGTTGTAGCTGATGGAGCACACACACTTTGCAAACTTGGGCTGGCCTGTGCCTGGATCCTTCTGGAGAGTGACTGAAGAGGATTTCCTTTGAATACGCTAACCTGTACACTAACTGCTCTTTATTTCACTGGTGTGTACTATAATGAGGTTGGAATCTACCAATGGAAAAAGTACTAATCAGCAGAAAGACCCTTCTTGACATTTCTTCTTTTTTTTTTTTTAAGATTTATTTTAATTGAAAGGTTGAGTTACAGGGAGAGAGACAGAGCTCCTCTGCTTGTTTACTCTCCAAATGGCCACAATGGCCAGAGCTGTGCTGATCTGAAGTTAGGAGCCTGGAACCAGATCTCGCTCAGGGTTTCAAGGCTCAAGGACCTGGGTCATTTTTTCACTGCTTTCCTAGGTTCATTGGCAGGGATCCAGATTGGAAGAAAAGCAGCTTGAACTCAAATGGGCACCGTTCTGTTGGCCACATCTGATGCACACAGGAGAGAGGTGTCTGAATCTGGCAGCCACACATGCCGCAGAGGACGAAATGCAGGGACATAAAAGGTCTGGCAAATAAGGAGCTGCTCACAGTTTTTAAACTGTTTTACGCTTCAATCAGTCTAAAACAGGTACGTTTCAAGATAAGCAGCAGATGATACTTAAGGAGTATATAAGCCTGCTTTGCCAAGAAGACATTAAAAAACGTTCCCTTCATCACTTTGTTGATTTCTGGGCATTATCCAAAGTACTTAAAGTGCAACTGAAAAAAATGAGTGCTTAATTTTTTTTGAGAGAGAGCATTCCCCATTCTGGTTCGTTGCTCTCACTGCGCACAGTGGCCTGGGCAGGGCTGTCGCTGTGAGCTGCCACCCGCGGGACAGGGATCCCAGGGTGCAGGAGCAAGTGGCTCCATTGGAGAAAGCAGCCAGGGCTCCAGCTGAAGTGCTCTCACACGGAATGCAGGAGTTCTGGCTAACTGGTATCTTACCCGGTGGGCTAAACATCCATGCCCAGTCTGCTTTTCATACAAAAATTATGGCAAAGGAAGAATGAAAATCCTGTTGGGTCAATAAAAAATGATTCTGAATAGAGGAGTTGCAAGGTGCTTATGTTTTACATGAAGTGATGCAGTGTTAACTTTAAGAAGACTGCAAAGTTAAAGGCATATTGCAATTAGAGCAATCACTAAATGTTAATACAGAGAGGCAGAGCTGAAAAGCCAGCACGTGATATTAAATTCAAATGATGTTCAATTAATCTAAGGAAAGGATTCAGCAACTCAACAAAATTCAAATGTCTTCCAGAATGAATAATAAAAATATGATTGATCAAAATGTGTGGGATGCAAAATGTACAGCAGAGCTGCAAGGGAAACATAGCTGTGAATGTTTATGCTAGAGGGCCCAGTGTGATAAGTGTAGCGGCTAAGGTCCTCCCCTTGAACGCGCCGGGATCCCATATGGGCGCTGGTTTTAATCCCGGCAGCCCCACTTCCTATCCAGCTCCCTGCCTGTGGCCTGGGAAAGCAGTTGAGGACGGCCCAAAGCTTTGGGACCCTGCACTCATGTGGGAGGTCTGGAAGAGGCTCCTGGCTCCCAGCTTCAGATCAGCGCAGCACTGGCTGTTGCGGTCACTTGGGGAGTGAACCATTGGATGGAAGATCTTTCTGTCTCTCCTCCTCTCTGTATATCTGACTTTCCAAAGGGACTAAATAAATATTAAAAAAAAAAAAAGAATGAACATCAAACCAACAGTAAAGCTTAGATAAAGGGTGACATCATTGATGCTTTATGGAAAATATGGGGGCAAGGCCTCGAAAGAAAGGAGCGGTTTAAAAACCAGAGAGCTTAGTTTTAAGAAGGGAAGAGACCAGATCGAAACAGGCCTGTGAAAAACATCACCCTTATTTACAAGGAAAAAAAATCGTTTGATCTTGTCAGAAGACCCAACAGTAGAAACAGCCAGCCCACAGACATCTTAAGTGCTTCAGTCTACCCAACTCTGACTGAAAACTTCAAGGGCAGAGACCCTGTCGTGACAACTGCAAACAGCACTGCACTGAGACGTTCACTTCCGGGGCGCTCGGTTCTTCAGGGCTCGGCTTCCCTGCTGCTACCATCACTAACCAGGGCTTCCAGCCTGATGGAGTTCACGTTGACAGATAAAATCTATGTTTAAATCCCATTTTCCCCCCAGCAACTTTCTGAAGTCCTCTCACCTCCACGAAGGAATCGTAATCTCTACATTCCAAACACAATGACTGGGAGTGAGGAAGTCACCCCCAGTGGCAGAGGCACCAGGGCCAGTTGTCCTGGGACGAGGGACATTCCACCCGTGAGCGGGAACACTGCGTGTGTTCCTCTCATTGTATATGCAAAGGCGCGCTGGCCCACTACCCGGGCAGCTGAAAGACCGTGTCCGGTGGCCACAGTGCAGCGGAGCCGGGCAGCTGTTCTAAGTTGGTAGCGGCCTCCCCAGCACGCGCTCCACAAGCTGACCCACGTTCTGCAAGGCATGCAACAAGAAGGCGTGACCACTCATAAAGGTCTCCCATTAGTTCTTTCTGGAATTTTCCATTTTATGTTTCCAGAGGGAAAGTGACCCCTTGGGTACCTGAAGCCAGAGAATGTGTCCCACTTACTCGATAAATTTTACAATTTCATGGGGGGGGGGGGGAGACGCTGTGTCAAGCAAGAATGCACACCGTCCAGGGTCGAGAAGGGCGAATCCGTCCTGCCCAGGCGGGCAGGTTCCTTCACACAGCGGAACGGAACCAACAGAAAAGAGAATATTTTACCACCGTAAGAAGCCACACACTCCGGGTTGGCTTAGAAACGAACTAATCTAGCTACCCTTTCACAAGCTCCCTGCAGTGTAAATGTAGAAGGTTATTAATGTTTACGTAGCACCTACCAGCTCCAAGAAAAGTTCCTTGCAGCCATTGGGTTTTTTCCCAGAAGACCAGAGCTTTTTCTTTTTTTTTTTTTTTCCTCCCGAGCACTTGAATAAGTCCCACTCCTTCCACTTTTTATTTGGTTGGCATCTTTACGAAGCTGGCAGAACACGGGCCAGTCCGCGGTTGCCTGCACCTGTGTCCGCGCGGCCGCGGTGCTGAGGGGCCTCTCCGTCAGCCAGCCTACAAGGCGTGCCGGGGCCTGGGTTTCTCACAGACCTCGGGAGCCGCGGGGTTTTGGGGTCCCACACTTGCTTCTTGCCCAAACTCCCCAGCGAGTCTGGGTGGCCGAGCGTGCTGTCTTGTAGAGGTTTTTCCTCAGAAAGCCTTCGAGAACGCCTGCACTTTCCCACAGCGGCCGCCACCTTCCCCCGTTACCTCACGCTCCCTCAGTCTCCCAAACCCCGCCGTTCGCGGGAATAAAAAGCTTCTTTACCTCAGAATGTCAGACAGGCCTGTGTTGAAACCCGGCCCCTGTTCTCCTGCACTGCCCCCCGTGGTCGGTCGCCGACTTCGGGGGGCTTCACTCGCCCCCCGGGAACACTCGAGAACCGCCACACTCGACAAGCCCGGGAAGCCGCCCCGCCCTCCGCCGCCTCACGGCTTCCCGCCACCGGCTTCCCGCCTCTTCCGGCCGAGGCAGCGTCCGGGAACGCGCTTCGCAAGCCCCAGCCAATCAGAGGCTCCGCTTGGGCCGGCGCGAGTGCGCGCGCGCAGCTCCGTGCGCAGGTTCGAATCTCCGCCGCTTCGCGGTAGCTTTCCAGTCAGGGATCCGGGCCGTCCTTCCGCGGCAGCGCGGGCAGCTCGCGCCGGCCCCGGCCGTCCTGCTGCCCGCCCGGCTCGCGCCACCTTCCCGCGGCCTCCTCAGCCGCCCTCGGCCCAGCCCTCTCCCCGCGCCGGGCCCATGGCCAAGCGGCGTGCGGCCGAGCCGCTGGCCTTTCACGTGCCGTGGAAGAGACCCTTCTACGACCTGTCGGCCCCGGAGGAGCAGCCGCCGCCGGCGGCCCCGCTCTGGCTCCCGCCGCATCCAGAGCTGTCCCGAAAGCGCAGGATCGACGCGGGAGCCATGGCAGACCCTTCGGCCTCTCCCAACAAGCGCCGCGACAGCGGGGACGGCAGCGGCCCGGGCGACGGCGAGGAGGAGCCTGAGGACCGGAGCCTGGAGCCCGGCGAGCCGTCGCCGCTGCGGCCGGCCCCGGAGGAGGAGCCCTGCCCTGCCCGGCCCCTTCGGGGCGGCGGCGGCGACGACGGGGCGGGCCGCGCAGGGTCCCCTCGCGGAGCCTGGGGGGCCGCGGCGCTGCAGGTAGGGGCTGGGGACGCGGCACGGGGGCGAGGGGCTGGGGACGAGTGTCGGGGCGAGGGGCAGGGGCTGGGGACGCGGCACGGGTGCGAGGGGCAGGGACGGGTGTCTGGGTGACGGGCAGGGGACGGGCGTCGGGGCGAGGGGCTGGGGACGGGCGTCGGGGCGAGGGGCAGGGGACGGGCGTCGGGGCGAGGGGCTGGGGACGGGCGTCGGGGCGAGGGGCAGGGGACGCGGGCAGCAGGAGCCGTGTCCACACAACGCTGACCCGACGACAAGCCCCAGGCGTAGGTGCCCGGTGGTCACTCGAAGTCGTGAGCCGTTGTCGTCCCGAAGAGGGTCGCCCGCGTGGTGACCCACAGTTATTGGGACGTGCCAAGAGTGTGGGACAGGTTGGCTGAATTTGGGGGATGACAGCATTATTCGTGATATTGAAGAATCTCCTTTTAGAAAGGCTCACGTTTGGTACTCAAGTTTGAGCCCTGGTGGGGAGCCACACTCTTTGGGAAATGGACCCACAGGACATGATGGGGCCTTTGCTGTTGAATCCTCAACTGCTTTCACAGGCCACAGGCAGGGAGCTGGATGGGAAGTGGAGCAGCTGGGACTAGAACCAGTGCCCATATGGGCTGCTGGCACTTAAAGGCTGAGGATTAGCCTGTTGAGCCTCTGAGTATGAACTACTTCGAGTTAGTAAAAAAGGAAAAATAAGTCGGAATTTCTTATATTGCCTACAGATGAAATAATTTAGATGTGTTGGACTGAATAAAATTTTATAGTTTTTTTTTAAACTATGGCTAGTAGAAAAGTCAATTAGATTGTCAAGTCATGTTGTGGAACTGGGAAGGTTTGGTCTAGACCGCAGCCTGCGCCTTTTGCTGTTGTGTGACAGATGGCTTTCAAATGGGGCAGCTGAGTGTAGTGCCCAGGCTGCCTTCAGCTGCCCACCTCCGCAGAAAATGAATCTGTAAAATGGGATATTTTTTATTTCTTTTTAGTTGGCGCTAAGATGTCCGCAATTCTGAGCAGGGTGAGAGGCGTCCACTGCCGCTGGCTCTGGAGGGAAGTACTGCGTCCTTGGAATAGTTCTCATGACAGAGTGTGTAGTGAGACTTTCCCTCCTGAGACCAGTGTTGGTACCAAGTAGTGCGCCAGAGATGCCGGGTAGGGAAAAAGGGAAAGGAAGAGTTAGGGAGAGTTATTGAGTGGCTGGCACATGTTTGCCTGCAGCAAGAGCTGGAGGTGGTGGGTTTTTCCTCAGTCCTGCTGCAGGGAAAGGCTCCAGGGGCTTCTTATCCTTCTTTCCCTAAGGATTTGCTTATTTAAAGTCGGATTGATCCCAGATGGCTGCAATGGCTGGAATTGGGCCCCGTGAAAGCCAGGAGGTTCATCAGAGTCTCCCATTTGGGCTAGGGCCCAGATATGGGAGTGGAGCAGCGGAGGGCCTAAGCTGGCATGGCTCTGCAGGATGCCACCTTGGCAGAGCCCAGGGGCACCCTCACCACCAAGGCCAGAAGGAGCTCTCAGCTTGTTCTGATGATTGCTCCCATCAGCGGGAGCTGGGTGGAATGTGGAACAGCTGGAGCGCACATAGGTGTCTGCATGGGATGGCCGTGCGGCCAGCTGAGGCCTCTCAAAGCCTCTCAGCTCTAGGATGCTGAACTCAGATCAGACTTCCCTACAGACCCATCTTGGACTTGTGTGACTGCTGACAATGGACCTGTGGCCAGCCTTCCCGACACTGCAAGAGTAAAATAAATTCCAGATTTGTGAAAACTGAGTATGACAAAAATAATGTCTAAAAGCATTCATTTGTAAAATATTGGCTGCATTTTGAAGCAGTACTTTAAATCATATTAGGTCAGAAAGGATGTTCAGGTGAAAAGATATTTATTTTACTTGAAAGGCAGACTTAGGGAGAACTTTGTGCCAGAATGCCAGCCACAGCCAAGCAGGATCAGGTGGAAGGAGACGGGAACTCCATCTGGGCTTCACTGTCTTCCTGGATACAGCCGCAGGGAGCCGGGTCTGGCGCAGCGCAGCTGGCATGCAAACCCACGCTACTGGGTTCCAGTGGTGGCCAGTTGCTTAACCCATGCATCCAGTGCCCACTACAAAGATTGAAATTATGTGGATCCTGTTCATTTTCTGTGCTGCTGTGGCAAGTATGAACAGAACAGCATGATAGAACAGTCTAGGCATCTGGAATGGTGTCAATGTTCATAATTGTCTCCTTGGAAGAGTGCAATGCCTGTGCTATTTCCTTTATATAAAGTGGGGATGCTTTTGCAATTCTGTGCTAATTTTTGTACTCTTTGAAATGTGAACTTATATTGTCATTTACTGTGCTTATATCCTAATGCTTTTTAGAAAGCTGAAACTTCAGGAAAAATCTGCAAGTCATAAATGGGTTTATTTTTAAATACGCCTTAAATTTTTGTTCTAAATGAAACACATTTTGTATCTACTGGTTCACTCTCCAGATACCTGCAGTAGTCAGGGTTGGGCTGTGCGGAAATCAGCTGCCCAGACGTCCAGCCTGGCCCCCGTGGGTGGCAGAGGGCCAAGGGCTTGAGCCAGCACCGGCTGCTCCCAGGGTGTGCATTGGCACCAGGCACCCCACCATGCCCCATCATGGGATACAGACAGACCAAGAAGGGTCATGCCCCTTGGAGCGCCTCATGTTGGGGATCGGGGATGGGTGGGAGGTAGGGTGGGGCTTTCCCCTTTGTTACTCCCCTAACCCTAGATACAGGGCAAAATGATTATATTAGTGTGGAAACAATGATATTACCCACTTTCACCCTGTAGCCCGTGACCCTTTGTACCCTAATAAACTAAGATTATTAAAAAAAAAAAAAAAAAAGAAGGGTCATGCGTTGGTGTGTTTAAGATTTGTTTATTTTAAAAGAAAGTCAGAGCAAGAGAGCCCTGTCATCTCTGGTTCGCTGCAGCAGCAGGGAGTATTCCAGATCAAAGCCAAGATCCAAAGCTTCTGGGTCTCCCACGGGAGAGCAGGGGCCCAAGGAGTCTGCTGTCTCGTGCTGCCGCCCAGGCGCATTGGCAGGAGGCTGGGACGTGAGCCAGGACCCAAATGGGATGCTCGTACTGCGGCCCCAGTTTTATCTGCTCTGCCCAGACCAGGAGGTGTCTTGCTCCTGTTTTTAAAACAAGTTTTTGTTTGCTGAAAAGGTAAAGTGTTTTAAGATTTTGCAGACATTTCTATTTGTGAAAAATGGGAGAAAGTTATGGAGGTGTTCTTACTTAAAATTCTTCTAAGCCTAAGAGATATATCTGTATACTTATAAACATGAAGAATTCATAGATTTGATTGATTAGTACTTTTAGGCAAAATTAAAACTGTAATGGTTGAAAATACAAGTGAATGGACCTGGTGCAATAGCCTAGTGACTAAAGTCCTCGCCTTGAATGTGCCGGGATCCCATATGGGCGCTGGTTCTAATCCCAGCAGTCCTGCTTGTAGCCTGGGAGGGCAGTTGAGGAAGCCCCAAAGCCTTGGGACCCTGTACCTGCATGGGAGACCCAGAAGAAGATCTGGGTTCCTAGCTTTGAATCAGCTCAGCTCCAGCTGTTGCGACCACTTGGGGAGTGAATCATTGGATGGAAGATCTTCCTCTCTGTCTCTCCTCCTCTCTATATCTGCCTTTCCAGTAAAAATAAATCTTTTTAAAAAACAAAAGAAAATACAAAGGAATGAGACTGCAAGTGCCGGCATTGTGGTGTAATGGCTCTGTCACCGCCTGCAGTGCCGGCACTGGTCCTGGAGGCCTGGCTGCTCTGTTTCTGATCCAGCTCCCCGGGGATGTGTCGGAGGAGAGCGGTGGCAGAGGACCCACGTTGTGCCCTTGTACTCGTGTGGGAGACTTGAAAGAAGCTGCTGCCTTTCAAGCAGCCCCAGCTTTCTGTGCTTAGATGCGGGGTTTTTCCCCCAATCTTGCTCCTGTGAGGGGGAACATACGGTATTTGTGTATCTGCTTAATTCATGAGCATGTTGTCCTGTGGCTCCTTCCATCTGCCGGCAGGTTGTATGGCTGAATAATAATCTATTTTGTGTATAGCTCATATTTGCCTGTTTATCTGATAAGGAACACCTTGATTATTCCATATCTTGGCTCTCATGAACAGACCTGCAATCAACATGATGGAGAAGATCTCTCTTGAAACAATGGTTTCCTTACTAAGTGCATCTCCATGATGTCTTCTATGACGATGTACTGATGTGCGTCCCTGCCAGGAGCGTGTCATGTCACCCTAACATCCCTGCTAGTGCTTCTAGCTAAGACTTAAAAATGTATCTATATTTTTTAAATAAGGAAACTTGTTTCTTGAACAATCCTAAGCCTTTGTGTGTCTCTTTTCTCCCAAAGCACAGTGAAGACTTTTGGCAGTATAATACCTTCCAGTATTGGAGGACTCCTCTGCCGCCTGTGGAGCTGGCAGATATCACGGACGCGAGTGAAGCTCGCCTGGCGGAAGCGGCCAGCCAGGACAGGGACGGCGCGGCCGAGGTCGACATGGAGTCCTGACACAGGAGCGGAACGGAACTGGGGAATTCATGTGTTCTTAAGGACATTTTTTTCCATGCTCAATATGATGTTTCCGAACTTGAAAAATGAGAAGTTGTTTTGAAGATACAATGCTTGCCGTTACTACTGAACTTCCCGACATGGATTTGTCAGAGACAACATGCTGTCATATGTGTATTGTTACAAGAAGAGTTTGTTTGGATTCTGAAGCTATTGATCTTATGTAAAGAATTCTGGCAGTTTTAGCAATATATGTAGGAAGCATTCAAATATTGAATTGTTTTTATAACTTATTAATAAAGTACTTTCTAATGCATTTGATTGACTCTTCTTAGTTGAACCAAATAGTTGACTTGGACATCTATGCAAACAAAGTGGGAGATTCTTTCCAAAAACTATTCTAAGAACTTTCTAATGTAAAGTAGTTGGAATTTCACTTTGAGTAGCGTATTTGTTGAATTCTATCAGCAATAAAAAAAAATGGATACAGAGCAATGAGAAATGAACTGGTGTCTGGCCCACCTGCCTTTAGTCATGTAATAGGAAAGAAATGTGTCATGTGGTCTGTCTCTCGGTTTTGAATTGCTATGAGGGCATGATTTTTACTACTTTTAAGCTGGAATTCTCAGCAGTTGTGGCCAGGCGGCAGACATTAGGACCCAGATGGTGAAGCCATTGCCCAGGAAGCTGGCATCCTGCATGTGAGCTGGTTTGAGTTCTGGCTGCTCTGCCTCTGATCCAGCTTCTTGTGCCTGTGCCTGGGAAAGCAGTGGAGGGTGGCCCTGGTGCCCAGGACTGTGCCATCCGTAGGAGAGTCCGGAGAAGTGCCACGCTCCTGATTCAGCATGCCCTAGCCCTTGCTGTTGCAGCCATCTGGGTAGTGAACCAGTGCGAGGAAACATCTGGTTCTCTCTGTAATTCTACCTTTCAAATAAAAAAAAAAAAAAAAAAAAACCGTTGGCCTCAGCCCCATTTATGAGAGTTAGCTGTTTTGAGGTAGACCGAGGAGATGGCTGTGTGTAAGCCGCCATCCTCCCTCCATCTCTGCTGCGTGAGAACCGCTAGGCTAAGGCTGATGTGTAATGGTGGAGACTGACCCGAGCTGGAGCAGTGCGTCTAACACGTGCTCTCTGCTTGCTTTCAGTTACAGCACGCACTTGGTGCTGGTGTTCCATCAGTGATGACATGAGTTCTGTGCTGCCTTTGTGCTTGTTATCTGTACTTGGGTGTTTCTCTCTGTGTGCTCCGGCCAGCAGAGCCAGTAACACGGACACGGAGAGGGCCTGGGGATCAAGTACCGACAGGAAACCAGTGACATGGAAGTCTCTCCGAAGCCTCCCTTTATTACTCCTTTTATACTTTTTCCCCCAAGCCCTTTAACAATGAGCCCAATCAGACCAGGCAAGCCCATTTCCAGTTACTGCTCAGCTTAAGGAGTGCTAATCAACTTGGCCCACAACAACTGTGATGAAATTAGAATCCAGAAAAAGGTGCCTATGGGAGAGATCAAAAACAAAAGCCCTTGAATTTTGTGTCTGCAGAATTTAGGCATGAACTGAAAGTAGTAATAGTACTTTCCAGTAACGCTGAGCTGCAAAGTCTGGTGTAACGTCTCACCCATGTGACATGAAGCAAGTGATTTTTCATCAGCACGCCTTAGATTTGTCACTTTGTGAAATGAGAAATAAAGGTTATCTACCTCGGACACTGCTGTCAAACATTGTCCTAGTGTCAGTGCATCTTGTGTTGTTGGTCCCATAAGGTGCATTCATTAGTTTTAATTTTGTAATAATAGACATAATTCCTGTAACTTCACTCCATTTTACCTCATTTATTAGGAATTTCAGGGTAAGCATTAGAATTTTAAAAATAGCAAGCAGAGCAAGCAAGTGTAAAAGAATTACCATTGTAAAAAAATTGGCTCTGGGCGCGATAGCATAATGGTTAAGGTCCTGGCCTTGAACACGCCCGGGATCCCATATGGGCGCTGGTTCTAATCCAGGCAGCTCCACTTCCCATCCAGCACCCTGCTTGTGGCCTGGGAAAAGCAGTTGAGGATGGGCCAAAGCCTTGGGACCCTGCACCTGCGTGGGAGACCTGGAAAGAAGTTCCTGGCCCCTGGCTTCGGATCTGGCGCAGCACCGGCCGTTGTGGTCACTTGGGAGTGAATTGTTGGACGGAAGATCTTCCTCTCTGTCTCTCCTCCTCTCTGTACATCAGCCTTTCCAATAAAATAAATATTTTAAAAATATATTGAAAAAATTGTGTAAAAATATTGTTAAAAAATATATATATATATGCTAAAGTTCCTGACTTCCGTTAGACCTGCGGGTGGGAAAATGTATGGTGCTACTTACTGTTCCCTTTAATGCCCAGAGCGGGGCGAGACATATGGCACACATCCATCCATGCTACGTTACCTAGGAAGTGCCTTGGAGTGGGTGTGGGTGGAGACGCCCGCAGGTGTGGCCTGGGAGGCAACACGCCATGCCGCCGTGGGGAGACCCAGGCTGACTTATCTGCCTTGAAGGGAGCTTGAGGACTGCATGGGAGATCTCTGTTCTCTTCTTAGTAATATCTGTAAATTTAGAAAAGAAATAGGCATTCTTACCTGCTGATGCGAAAGGAACGCCATGCTTTTTTTCTGGAAGCAAAGCTAGGTCATTTGCTCGAATGTGTGTACAAAAGTTTGTGACTGGAGATCACATAATAAAACATTGGAACTAATCTAGAAGTTGGATGGTGGTCAGATAAATCCCTGCTCCGGAATGCTGCTGGAGGATTTCAAGAAGTACTAAACGGAAGAGCAGTTGCAGAGTAAGACGTGAAAAAAAGTTCAAGTCAGTACCTACAAAGAATCTTCAAAAAGTTCATGAAGCTGCATATGATGGACAAAACTGCGGGAATCTCAGCTTTTTTTTTTTTAACTGAAAATAATTTTTTTAAAAGATTGAATTATTGAAAAGGCAGATAGATTTACAGGGGGAAGGAGAGAGAAAGGTCCTCCATCTGTTGGTTCGTTCCCCAAGTGGCCACAGGTGGGTCAGGGTGTGAAGGCTTTGGACCGTCCTCTGCTATTTTCCTAGGCCACAAGCAGGGAGCTGGACGGGAAGTGGAGCAGCTTGACAAGAGCCAGAGCCCATATGGGATGCCAGTGCTTGCAAGAGGGAGATTTAGCCATTGAGCTTATCATGCTAGGCCCAAAATAAACATTTCTTTTAAATACATTTTACGTTAAAAGTATTCTCATATTACTGATTCAATTTTGCGTCATTTTTAGTCTTCAGAGTTTATTCTTACATAACTCAGTTTTGGTAGGTAATATGCGTTCAGAAATTTATCCATTGTAGGTTTTCCAATTTGTTGGTGTAAAATCATTTGTAATTATCTTTTATGATCCTTTGTATAACTGCAGTGTCACCTTTCATATTTTTTCATTTCTGATTTTATTTTAGTATTTCGAGTCAGTTTTCTGGATTTTGTGTTTGATTCCCTGTTTTATTTCTCTACTCTGATCTTTGTTTCTAATATTAGTTTACAGTTTAATCTGTTCTGGCTTTTCCTAGTTATTTGCGATGCAATGGTAGGTTTGAGATGTTTGTGTAGTACAACTTGTACTTTATTTCAGGGATGTTGGCAAATTGTGTTTTTGTTTTCATTTAATTCAACTTGAATCTGTTGTTTAATTTCCATGTATTTCTATATCTTCTACCCTTTGAAACTAAATAAATTTTGTGTTATCATATTCTCACATTTTTAATGAATGATTGATGAGTTAACTGATATATGTATATGTAAAGTGGTAATTTTGTATTTCTGTCATATTTTCCACATTGAGTCATTGAGACTACTCTAAACTGGCGTTTTCATCCCCGTTTCATTATTCAGTTACTTACATTAATGTAGACTGATGACTGTGTATATCATTGCATGAGTTTTGCATTGCCATCATTATTTATTGTATGAATTATCCCAGTCTTAGATGCTGTAAGTTGCTTTGAGTTGCTTCTTGCTTCCATCTCTTATTAAAATGAGTTTTATTGGGGTACGCCTTGTGGCGCAGGAGGTTAAGTTGCTCATTGCCACTCTGCCATCACACCTGTTTCTGGTCCAGCTTCCTGCCAACGGACCAGAGGAGGTGAAAGAGGACCAAGTATCTGGGGCCCTGCCGCCTATGTGGGAGAGCCCAGCGGGTCCCAGGTGCTTTACCTGGTCCTGCCCCAACCCTGACTGCTGTAGGGATGGGTGACAGGAACCCAGCAGGTGCAGATTACACCCCTGTCTCTGCCTTTCAAATAAATAGCATGGACTTGTTATTTCTTTTTTTTTTTTTATAAAGATTTATTTTTATTATTTTTTTATTGGAAAGGCGGATATACAGAGAGGAGAGACAGAGAGGAAGATCTTCCGTCCGATGATTCACTCCCCAAGTGAGCCGCAACGGCCGATACTATGCCGATCCGAAGCCAGGAGCCTCTTCCGGGTCTCCCACGCAGGTGCAGGGTCCCAAAGCTTTGGGCCGTCCTCGACTGCTTTCCCAGGCCACAGGCAGGGAGCTGGAAGGGAAGCGGGGCTGCCGGGATTAGAACCAGCGCCCATATGGGATCCCGGGCGTGCAAGGCGAGGACTTAACCACTGCGCCACCGCGCCGGGCCCGACTTGTTATTTCTTATGTGATTATTGGTTAACATTAGCATCGTACTGAGAGAATCAAGATAGCAGAAGAGAGTGAGGACCTATGTAAACAGTTGTTAGCCAGGGTGAAGTACGGAGCGTGGGAACCAATGAAACCAGAGAGGACTGGCCACGAGCAGAGGGCCACCTGGAGACCGTGGACATGGCGAAGCCCCTTGTCTTTGAGATCTGCAGGTCTTCTCGGCAGGTTCCATCTTTGCGTTGTGTGACTCCCACATTTGTGGGTAGATTTCACTGTTCCCATTCTGCACCCACTTTCCTCCTGGGTTTCTGTGTGGGTCTCCCCAGGCTGGCTTCAGCGTCTGTGTTTTGGTGCCTCGGAGGCCTCTCGGGGCATGGGCACCATGGGCTGGGATGGGCACCGAGGCTGTCTCCAGAACAGCTGTAGAGTTGCAGAGCGATCTGCGTGCTGACTCGGGCTGCGCTCTGCCTTGCCCTGTCGCGGCCTGTGCTGCGAAGCCTGGTGCAGGTCAGTGGCTCTGCTCCCTGCCGCCTCTCCTGAGGCTGCGCCAATCCGCTCATCATCTACTGGTGCTACTTGGTCTAATATATCTCAAAGAAATCATTCAGAATCAGAATCAAATTTACATGCCACAGTATTGCATGTAATAAAGACTTACA